CTACGGCAGATTGTCTCAAATGACGTATGGTACCGTCGGGGACACCACTCAAGACATTTTCCAATACCTATCTGGATGCGCCGTGATGTTGTAACGCCGTCACCGTCATCGTCTGAGACACCCCCATCGCGGCGTACGTTCTTTTCGTTCAATTTAGTGCCGTCAATATGTCACTTCCCGCCCTGGATTTATTTTCAACCGGGATCAGCAAGTCACGATCTTAACGCGAAAGGCATCTCCGAAATCACCGTGCTGGCGCTCCGTTAGCTAATTCTCATCTTCTAATTTATTTATCGCGACGAAATCGTTCTGAATAATCGGGTTAATGGACTTTTACACGCAGAGGCGCAATGCGCTGGTTAATTACTGTAATTAACAATCGGAGAAATATCTCGAGTTGCACTCTTGCGTAATTGAGTGTGTATTCGCAGATCATTTACGTGCGTATCACATTCCATCAATTAAGTTTGATTTCTACGCCAAACTCCATTTTCGATGTTCGGAACTTTAGTCTCACGTGCTAGCACGTAAAATCATTTCTCCTTGGCTTACCCTTTATTCCGCGCTGCTACCTGAGCCGATGCCGCCCTTTCGTTGTGGTGTTCCTTAAACTTTCCTCCGCTTCGGTTCCTCGGCGTTCACTTCACATCGATTTCCTCGTTCACGCCTCGATGCGTTTCGTTCGTCCCGGGATGCCACCCTGCTCTTCCATCTCGCTCACAGCTGAAGAACCACACGGTCGCGGGTTGAAAATGTTACAGCTCGCGCGTCCCTCCCGATGGAAAACTTGAAAAATGGTCCTGCTTACTGCGGAACTTTTCAAGTAGGTTACACGGTTTGCCTACGTCAAGGCGATCGCACAACGCTGCGAGCAACGTCTACCTTCGCGCTTTCTAATAGCTAAATAAACTGATAATTATTTATGACAGTTTCTCCACGTGGTTAAACGGCTGCGATGAATAGTTTCCGTAACTCGTCCTGTCGACCTCACGCGACTCCTTTAGAACTTTACCTCGAAGTTTGCTCCTCAAGAGCTGATGCTTTGGTGTAATTAACTCGACAACTAATTGCGTAGTTCGCGGTAAACATATATTACATTATGAAATATACATTTACATACATCTCGCAAATTCTAAGTCGAAATACCGTGCGTCTGTAATAATATTTTATGTTTATTAATATTGTTATTTGTCTTTTTCCTATTATTTAGCTTTGCCATTTCCGTGAGTTTTATTATATTCCGTAGTTGGGAACTGATCGTAAAAATTTTATCATGTGTTTGAATCGCAGCCTCCATTTAAAATTGGGAACAGAAATGTCTTCGGCATCCCGGATTCCAATCTTCACACGTCATAACTCGTGATAAACGTTTGTTCCTCTCCTCTGCTTTGAGTGCTAACACAATCGTTTTTCGGCGACAGCGTTTCCGCTGTACGGTCGCCGTTGCCTACACCAGGACTTCGAAACCCTACGAACTCGCACATTTCATCCTGTCGCTTGCCAACAACGCACAAATAAGTGCTACACCCACAGAAAAACCTCCTTGTGCGTATTCATCCTTTAAGGAGTCGTGCCGATAGTTGTAATAGCGAGGGAATCTCGTAATAATAAGACTTCATTCAGATCTAAATTACGAAATAGCTTGAAACTCATTTTATGTTATTACGAGTACACATTGAATGTAGAGAGACAGCGAAATTAATAGACTAGGCATATCTTGTGCTTGACAAAAGCTGTAAGCTCATTTTCCTAATTCTATATTACACAATATTCACCAAATTATATTTGTATGCCATGATTAAAATTCATATCAAGTAAATTGTCATGTTAAATATGTAATTATAGTAATTTATATTGCTATTTTTTTATTATTATTTATCAATATTTATTACTATCATAAATAGAAAAAAAAGATTACAACACTATTTCTTAAAATGCTCTGAAAGAAAATTATTGCAATATAATAATATGAAAAATATTCATTAATAAAACAAAATATATTACTCTGTCACAATTTATCGAAATACGTTTGTCTAATTATTTGAAACAATTTGGGAATTTATTTGCGCCATCGTATCTTGTATAAAATGCAATATGCTAACGCAACTGGTGTGGTGTTTCAAGCGAGCGGGATTTCGTACTAGGAATAAACGGCACCGTCTTAAATTGGCGGTACATTATATGCTTTCATGTAAAATTCGCAACATAGCGTTCTAGGGAAGGAAGCGTTCCATTTCCTAGTGCAAAGAGCTCAAAATATTCTACCGCAAGCTCTTGTTTATAGTTTATATATTCATGATAATATATGCATGCACGCGACGCTGTTGCTAGACCATTACTTTCTACTAACGTTCGCCATAATAGGACTTGTAAATTACAACTGTTTTAAATTATTTATCGACATATGTGTTGTCTTGTGCAGTTTTTCATACTTTTCGGATTAAGTTTTACAGTAATTTTTTAATTGACCTGAATATTTAATTTATATATTTAACTGTATGAATGACTGAAACATGCCATCTTAAGAAAGAAATGGATCAATATCAAATAGATCAATGTTTGCAATCATCATGCAAATATATTACAACTATGATTATCATTATTATATTAAATGTCTTGCATTTATAATGTTGTACATATATTTATTGTTCACAATATCAAAAAGAAAAAAAAACTGCACAGTTGTAATCGCATCAATAGTTGGCGTTAAAATCCTGAATTTGAAAAATATAGCCTCAATCTAGATTGAGGTGCTTGGAAATGTTAGACGTTAATTTATAAGTCAAGCTATAGTTGAACATGTCTCGAAAAATAATCCATTACTATTCGCGATATTTTTCATTTTTATATATATTGTCTCGTATTCATATTTCGTTTCACTTACTAGCGTGAGGCCACCCTTGCGGAAACACTATTCCTATTATGCACAGCAATGATATGACCTTATAAATAATAAGAACGCTAAAATTACGGGAATAAAGCAGCGCCGCCGTAACCGCTGCTGGATAACGCGTCACACAGATTTCCGCGAGATTGCTCGAACGTGGATTGCGTCTCATAGAATCGGGACAACTTTGCACGGCAGCGTAGCGCCATTATCCCTACGACGAAGTATTGTTACAAAGTACGGTTATCACATTTAACGTCGCGAGGCTGCAACGCGTTGCTCGTAGCGCGTTACCTGTGTGACGTCGCCGTGCAAGAGAGTAGTATCTTGTTACGTCTATGTAGGCAACTCATAGATGAGAGTGTGTTCGTACTTCCTTCGCTCGTCCTCCGCGTAATCTCCATGCAAACGTCTAACAATGTCATCGCAGCTATGCCAGATCGCACGCATATTTTACGCATTCGTGCGTTGCCGCACACGTTGTGACACTCGCAATGCAATGAAATGAAAATGCGCATGCCGTAATAGAAGATTTCAGAATTTCTTAGGGGAATAAAAAGAATAAGTCAAATAAGAAAAATCATATAATCAAATAAAAACTTTGTATACTCAAATCATATATGTTTTATAAAAGTCACGCGCAATATTGAATTGCATATTCTAGAGTACGTAATTCTAAAGTATCATTTATCACTTTACGACATAAAATTAAAGCAAAAGTTGCGAATTCATTCGAATTATATACATAAATTACCGTGATGTTACCAGCATCGCCATCGAACACATAAATAGCCAATGAACTTTTCTTTTCTTCGTTTTCACCGCGATAAATTTTTTTTAAGAAAATCTAGATTACTCTTTATTTTCGGTAATTACCGCAGAATTCGGCAAAGTCGTCGCTTTGTCCGCAGTTGCTAAATGTGTAGAGCCAGTAATTGCTTCCACAGTTTTACTCATCGTGGTATATACCTTTCTAGTCCTTTGTGTTTTGTTTCTTTTTCTTTCTTACCGTTCTTTAGCTAGCACGGTACTCTGGCATGTTTGCTCTATATTCCCTTTCCAATTTTGTTTCTCGCAGCCTCGTTCCTTTCCTTGTTCTATATTGCGTCTGGTTCGCGTGACTCGCGATATAGAAGCTAACCGGTGGCAATAAATCTAGAAAAACGTTACAATAGATTTTCTCTAGTTCGCACTCATGTCATTATTCTCACACGTCGCGGTCAATATGCTCGCATTACGGAGAACTTTGGCGCCGTTCTCAAGTCGGAGGATAATCCTCGAAACTTTTATCGGATTCTTGTCGAGAAGCCATCCGTATCAACGCACAGAAAATGCTTCACTCGGAGCAGAATGTTACTCTTATCTTCTCAGCATAAGATGTCGTTCATAATTTTTACTGTGTTTCATTTTTGAAGTGATAAATATGACATTTCTTCAGGTTTTTATTACGTAAAAATGTACCGCTCAAATAAATTCATCTTAATAATTAATAACACTTGAATGTTAAATCAATTTGAAATATTTTGCTATACAGTATTCTTGCATTGCATGTATTAACCGCAGCAATGACTACTGTATAATGTTGTAAAACATTTTCTAATTATCTTTTCGATTCTTCTTTAAAAAAATTTAACAGAATTTTAGTATACTAATTTAATGTCACTATTATTTAGTCGAAGCCTCGTTTTAAGACATTCCATCTTAATACATTCTACTTTCTTATCTCCCATTTAAACAAAGAACAAGCTATGCAAAACTCATAGACTTCAAGACAATATTCAGCGTACGATCCCTTTTGCTGAAAGGATTTCAAGTAATCCCAGTTGCTTGAATGCGTCCTTCCTGCTCGCGCGTAATTGAAAGGATATTAATAAGTACAGTCTAGCCGCGCGAGTTGGAGAGGCGAAACGTAAATGAGCCTGGAAAAGATATATGTCACGGATCTGAGAGTATTACGGAGAAGCGCTTGTCTTTCTGATCATCGTGCTGGCTATATTAGAGCGTAGGGTGCTGAGGATTCGCCATTGAAACCGTGCTACACTCCGGGGAGCTCTGTCCTTCTCTCTTCTTCTTCCATTACTCATTCACTATTTCTGTTCTTCTTCCTTCGCAGACGTATTCGCCATCTCTCTGTCGGGGAATAATGGGCATGAAAGCTGTTGGAATAATTAATGCCGGCAATTGGATGGAAGATCAAGTGATAAATTGTTTACGAGAAATAAGAATCCGTGAATAATTAGTGTATATTATAACTGAAAGAGTATTACGTTATGTGTTTTGGCATCAGAAGATTTTGGATATTGTGATGACATTGAGGTGAATGTCGAAACATTTTTTATTGATAAATGTTTATCATTAGCGTAAATATATTGCAATGCAACAATTGTAAGGATTAGTAATATGCAATATAATTTTGCAAACTGTACGAACAGTAAAGAATAAGAAATACGAAACAATATGACGGCTCTAATTAGTTTTAGAAAATATTAATGCTTAATAATTAAGTTAAGAAAATGATCGATGTTGTGCGTTACTGTGACTATTCTTCTGCTTAGAGGGAAACTTTACTGAGTGTTAAGAGCAAAAAAGTAATATCTTTTGGTAGTGTTTCACGAACGCACCACTGGTGCGATTCGACTGAATAAATATTCAGTTCCGCGATACCGCGAAACACCGCAGGCGGGCAGGGAACACCTGGGTTCTCCATTGTTGCATAGGTAGAAAATTTTCCGTAATCGTAAATGAACTTTGGCCGTTTTGTCCTATAAATCGCGTCGCGGCTATCCTCGAGTTGAACTTGTCCACAACAGAGTTGGCGAAGGCGCGCGTACTTTTACAAAACGGTTGATACAACTCGCGCGATTACTCTATTCCGCAGTCCGTCCCGCGAAATCTCGAAAGCGGCATTCGAAGAGGGAAGGGAAAACAAATTGTATAGAAAGATGAAACAGTCTTAATGGACTCTTAGAAAGGCAACGGAATTACGGGGAGCGAAGGAATGGCGGGTTAAGTAAAATGCTGCCGGAGCGTCGAACGATGGAGCCGGTGAGTGCGCCTTGCATCCCGCGGAACCCTCTTCTCTCTCTCTCTCTCTTCTCTCTCTCTCTCTCTCTCTCTCTCTCTCTCTCTCTCTCGCGACTGTTGTGCAAAATATTATTCAAAGCGGTGGTGAAAGAACGACGAAGCGTGCAAGGGGTAACAACGAATCAGGAGAAAGGAATGGGGCGAGACGTAGGTTGCGAGAATATATCTTTCTTCTCTCCTTCTTCCTCGCAACAGCCGTTTCCACTCCTGTCGCGACTCTCTCGCCGCGCTAGGCAAGCCGGAGTTGTCTATTCCGCCGCGCTAACTTCATTTAAGTTTTGATCCTTTTACAGGATACTCCACGCTAACTTTCCATATCGAGCATTGAAGGAGACACTTTAAAATCTCGAACGGAAAAGATTATTGAGCCCTTCTCCTGGCAGGGCGTGGTCGCTTCATCACCTTTCGCGATCGTGTGTTTTCTGGACAAAAGCTGTACGAGAAAGAGAGAGAGAGAGAGAGAGAGAGAGAGAAAGATAGAAAATAAATCCGAACGAAAGGATGTAAGAGATTATGCGAACGATGAAAGGACGGGTGGCAGCGTTCAGCTCGGAACCGACGAATAGGGGAGAAACTCGACTTTTATTACATTGAGTCGCTGGAAATGAGGCGCAGTTCACCGGATTATACACTGCGCTAAAATGCAGATACAAATTCCCCACTGAGAGCCATGACCTCATTCTTCTCTCCTATTCTTCTATGTCTGTCCGCCGGCAGTGCCCACCGTCCCCCCTACTCCCCTCCCCCCACCCCACGGTTATTTCTTTGCCTTTCTTCTCTTTTCCTTTCCCGTCCAATTCGACCTCCGCCTTCGTCTTCTTTCGTTTCCTTTTGTCACCAGCTAGTCTAATGCTAACTTGTACCTCACCATTAACCTCGCCGTAAGCTGTGTGCCCCGCCACTCCTTGTCGTTGCACCCCATGCTAAACAGTAGCTCATGCCCTTTCATCTTACCAGATAGCCGCGCGCTTCTTCTTCATTATTGTTACGCGTTATCCGGGATGCTAAACGCCACTTCATTTTATCCTCTGCGGCGAGACCGCGCGCCAAAGTAGACTGACGGCTGACAGCATTAAAATGCTTTTACTGCGCTTTGTATTCTCCTGGTAAGATCGTAATTATTGTTTAAAATAATATAAAGGTGGGTCTATAGGGATAATAATTCCGATCTTTCCCATTTATTTGAACTTAAATTTGTGCTATTACAATAATGTGTATCTATTTATTTATTAAATAAATGTTTAAAACATAAAATGTGTATGTGAAGTAAAGATCAGTGTGTTTAATAAAAAGTAGACTCAATTTTTTGTCATAATTTTCAATATTAGTATTAGTGTCGTTCTCATCTGAGCCATTGCGTTTTTTGCATTGCAAATAATTATTTTGTGCTTATTGCAAGGTGATCACGTTGTAGAATATTTCACATAAGATATATCTATTTAGCTTTATACCAAAGTTAATTAAAATACATTCAGTGTGCTGAGGATTCCGTTATAGAGGGCGAAAGCCTAAGATGGGACAGTGTATCTTCTACGATACATCGAGCAGGCTTTAGAACTTCGTTGCAGTTTGCACGGAGTTGCGGGATGCGCGTTATCGGATACATCACATATCGAATCCTCTAACGTTACTGATATCGATTAAGCCACTGTTCTAAAGATCCTGGGAAGCTTCTAGGACGTGCTCGAGGCACTGGTGGTGGAAGAAGAGAGAACGAGAAAGAGAGAGAGAAAGAGAGAGAGAGAGAGAGAGAACCGAGACGAATTTTCGTCCATAAAAGAAAGAAATCTCTTAACGTTCTTTGTCCGATGTATACATACACACAATCCGCAAGGATGTGTATGTATACGCCTTCGGGGATCCTTTTGTGCCCGTGCCACATTATAGGAACTGGTGCATTAGACAGAGTAATACGGCTGGAGGAATTCCAATTGCAGCGCGGCCACGTCGTTCGGTTTAACGATTTCGTCGGACTTCAGAGAATACGGAGTGCTATACACAGAGGAGGAATGGGCTTGTATATAGACCGCTTCGTTGACATGTTTAAAGACCGTTATACATCTCACGACCAGAGAGAATTGCAATGTTGTCTTAGGCCGCGTACAAATGTATCAATATTTATTCCGTCGATTTGCGCGTCGCAAAATACGGGTGGTATGACGGAGAGTTGTAATGGCAAATGTATGGACGCGTGGCCATTATTGTTACATCAGCATTACATATCGCTATAAGTATTATATATATCGCTCGTTTCATGTATTCTTACGATAACTTTATTTCTATGGATTTAAGTTCAAACATTACTACGTTAGAGTTATATTTAAAAATTTAATAACAATGCTTAAAAAAAGGATAAAACACTTATTATATTAAAAGTTATAAGTTATATATAATTACTAAAGTAAATTTAGATACGGTGTTATCTTTTATTTATATTTTTGCGTATCATAAGGAGTTCTGTATATCAATCAGCTATCAGAATTGTACACTGAAACCGTACACTGAAACCGTACCCTTCAACATACACTAAAATAAATGTTTTATCATCAATATATTGATGATAAAACATTTTGATTGTCTGTCGATTAGATTTATTTACGGTACTTTATGAATACGCAGACTTTAACCTTAAAAACGAATCACGCTCTGAAAGATCTTCTGTGATCGATGATGATATTCTTCGTAACATTTTGGAAGAATACCCATATTTATGAAGAAATTGTTAATATTAATGGAAATTATATTTGTTAATCAAATATTAATAAATAGTGTAAAAAATTATTATTTTTGCTTACTTAAAAAGCGGACAGAACTTTTTGGTAGATCTAATAATTTTTTTAGATATAATGAGTTTATTAATCAAAATTACACTTTTATATCACTCATATCATTATCTTTCTTTATTAAAAACTCTTTATTTTTTTTATTTATACACAAATTTATTCACAAATAAATAAAGAGACTTTAATTATTCCGATAATCGGAATTTTCGGTTTATCGATATTCTTATGAAAAGTACAAACCAAAAATATATTGATACATTAATGCATTATAAACATAATTTGTTGCTTGTAATATCTTATCATAATTTCTTATCGTACGACGCTTTACTCATTGCAAAACGGTTTAGTAAAGCTATCTCTGCGAGCACACATCGAAGAATTGACGAGTAGTTGCATGCAAGCGCTTGGGTGGATAACTTTAATTTGTCACAGCACTTTTGCATTTTTGCGTACGAATAGAAATATTACAAATTTACAAAAGCACACTTTATAAATAAACCATTAAACAGGCTAATTAGAAAATGTTTTATTAAATTTATATATTAGTGCGCATAAGTGGTAAATTTTTCATTACAATATAAATTAATACATTAATTTTTTAATATTTTCTTAAAATTATTAGTAATAAAATAAAATTAATTCGTTTCAATATATATTTTGTTTATCGCGTTTAAGATATCAAGAGAACAAGTTTCTATTGTATGAAGCAAATATTATATATTTTGCGACATAAATCAAGAAACAAAAGTCTTGCGAACGTAAGAAAGTTTAAGAAAGTAAAAAGTTCAACGAACAATGATCATCAGTATATTGTTATTATTTTTTTCTATCTTATTGATGTTCAATTATTACGTGCATCATGGAAGATCTGGTCGACTTATTAATCTTATACCGGGACCAAAAGCTACTCCGATTTTTGGTAATGCATTTTTATTCCGAGGTTCACACGGTAAGTAAAAATATCTATTATGTTTCCATTATTTTAATTATTTGCATAAACATTCATGTAAATAAAAATTAAACTTTCTATTTTAAAGTATATTTATAACTGTCAACATTGCAAATTAATTCCAAATATTCGGTCAAGTTCATTGAAATTTTTTTTGCAATATTTATTTTTTAAATTATTATAATTTGTTAATTTTTGTATGTTTATTTGTAATATTTATGTACACTTTTTAGAGGAAATTTGGAAGCGTGTGCGTTCTCTCTCTGACGACTTTTATCCTATACTGAAAGTGTGGATGTTTTTTATACCTTCAGTGTTAATTCGTCATCCAGATCATTTAGAAGTAATAAAAAATAAAAGAAATTTATTTTTATAATTATTATTAATAACTAATGGATTTTAAGATTTTCGTGTTTACTTATTTTTGCAAAAAAATTTTTGCTTGTAAAAAATGACTTTTGAACATATAGAAATATTTAAGGTAGTAAAAAAAACCGACTGATTGATTTTTATACATATAAGAACTAATGTATTATATAATAAACTTATTAACATAATTTAATTTTTTTATGATTTTAGAAAATATTAAGTAATATGAAATATATTACTAAGAGTGGTTTGTATGACATTTTACATCCTTGGTTCGGAACCGGTCTTCTCACCAGTCAAGGTAACATAACAACATTAAACTGAAGAGTGAGAGATTTAATATAAATAATGTTATTTGTATTTTATGAGAAAACGTTTTAATTACAAGTAATACCATAAGACGATTTTGCAATGTTGTAATGCAGGTTTTTGTTTTAGGTGCCAAGTGGCAGACACGACGAAAGATACTAACTCCCGCATTTCATTTTAATATATTGCAACAGTTTGTTGATATTTTAATTGAGGAGAGTGGTCGTATGGTACAATCATTGAAGGATGTTGAAGGAGTAGTTGTAAAAGATTTGGTACCATTTATGAGTGAGCACACACTGAACGCAATATGCGGTAATTCTTTATATTCTGTGTGTATATATCATAATAATTATATAATAATTTTATTCTGAATGATTAAAAGTAAAAGAAATTTATTCTCTTGCGTGAGATATAGATATCAAAATGGAAATAAATATTAATATTTGTAATGATTATTATTAATATTATTTTTTTACACAAGATATAACTTTAGTAAATGTAC